CTTCCAATACCTTCCTTTCAATCCCCCCCGCCTTTCTCACTACTTCTCATACTTCCTCCAATACCTCGTAGTTCTCTTTCGTCTGTTCTCCAGAAGTACTTAGTTGTGATTGTCGCTGGTTTGAGGATTTAGAATTTGACAGCAATAACAACAATAATAAGAATAGTAAAAATAATAATAGTAATAATAATAATAATAATAGTGTAGGTAATAATAATAATAATAATAATAATAATAATAATAATAATAATAATAATAATAATATACGATTAATAACAACAATAGTATTAACAAAATAACGGTTCCAACAGCTAGAAAGAGGGAAAACAGCTGTTGGACACTTGTCCCAACAAAAATAAAGGAGGAAGGGGAGAAAAGGGGGACAAAAAGGAGGAAGAAGAGACAGAGAGGGAGGAAAAGGTGGAGAAAAAAATGCCGCCAGGTTGGGACTGCAGCAGTAGGGACTGGCAGGTCTCAATGATGACCTCATCCCTCCAAGATTCTAGGAGGGCAGTCCGGATTGCAGACATAAGGCCCTTGGGGCATTATCTCTGCAATATCTAAGTTAAATCAGCAAAAATGCAGAAAATTGCTGATGTGAGTTGGCGGGCTATTTTTTTGACCTTAGATCTGATATCAGATTTTGTGAAGGAGGAGATCTAGCCGTTTTTTGTGGGCTGACACAAAACGGTTATCTCCGGAATGAGGTGGCAGCAAAATGGAGGGAAAACAAAGCAAGGAAAATGACAAAACTGGGAATTTGGCCCAAGGGTTGGGCCAGATTCATCAGAAAGTTGAAAATTGAAGCAAAGGCCTCAATTTTGGAGGTAGGGGGACTTGAAAAGAGGCCGGAGCATTGTGGACCTTGGATCTCAGCCAGATCCAAGGCTGAGATGAATGCCGCCACTTGAAAAATGCAACGGCTACTCCAAAAGGGCCTACATATGGAAAAAGACAAGAAAAGGGCCTTTAGGCCCCCAATTTTCACCAAAGGCAGCATTTTGGGCATGGGTACCCAAAAAGATAACAGCTTGGGAAGGAAAAGAGGCCGGGGTAGGCCTATGAGTGGTCCAAAGTGGTACCAGCCACTTCGGCTGCATGTACCTGGCCAAAATACGGCCCGGGTACCTCGAGAGAGGCCAAAATTTGAATTTTGGCCTTGGAGGTACCTCGGCCTACCAAGGGGGCACTTGGAGAGGCCTAGGGGCTAGGCGGTGCACTAGTTCCAGCCTACATAAGCTGGGAGTGCTGCCCGCAACTCCCATTTGAGCATGAGAGGTGCCCATGCTGCAAGTTTGAGCTCGTGAGAGCACAAGTGAGAGTAGGCCAAGGAGGAGTGAGTCGGTGCTAGCCTTGAAATCTGGCTATGGTGTTTTGAGGTAGGAAGGAGGACTAGGAAGCTAGGGGAGGTGGTCCGCCATAGCCCTCAGGCTGTGAGGTAGAAGGAGAGGCTGGYTGGGGTCCCCTTAGCCCTTCTAGAGGGAAGGACTCCACAACCCTAGTAACAGGAGCTGGYCATAGACTGAGAGGAGAAGTGGAAGAGGAAGGAGAAGGGAAGCCATATCCAAGGAACTAGAACCAAGCTTGGGACTTCATCACTAGGGAACTAGCAAGGAGGTGAGTGGAAAGATGGGGAAACTTCCTCTTCTTCTTCTTCTTCTTTTTGGTAAAGGTTGATTTTGGTAAAGGTTCATTTTGGTAAAGGTTGCATTCTGGGGCAGTGGTACCCAAAAGGCAGCACTTTTTGAAGGGAAAAGAGGCCGGGGTAGGCCAAGGGGGTGGTCCGAGAGGGTACCAGCCTCTCGGACTGCATGTACCTGACCAAAATGAGGCCCAGGTGCCCCCGGATAGGCCAAAACCGAAAATTTGGCCTTTGGGGT